CGTGCTTCATAAACCCCCTGCGCTATCAAGGTTTATATGATGTCCCACTCCGTGCGACCCCCTCGTCCGGCAACCCCGGCTGGGGCCGCCCCATGACCAGCATATGATGGTCATGTGCATCTTCACACTTCGTCCCGACTTGCGCTTGAACCCTGCAAGCTGAATCCAATTTGCTCTGGAAATTCTGCAGCTCATATTGGGAGTTTCCGCAAATAGGGGTACCATATTTAGGGGTCCTTATAATAAGGATCCTACTATTTAGGGTACTATATTAGGGTCCCCTAGTTTCGCAAAACCCCATTTTGGGTAGTTCTCTAAGTTCGGGTCCCTTTTTAGGTCCCCATGATAGTATCGGCACCCTTACAAGTCCCTCTCTGGGACTTCTGTCTATGCATGCGGAATATCGCTTGGTTGGGTGGCTTTGGAATTATTGGGATCCCTTCATAATCCAGGCATAGACAGGCTGTAGCCAAAGACGAAGCAGGCCTCGTCTCTCACACTCAAAACTCAAACATGGATGTCACTATACCCTTCCGAACCATACCGTGCCATACAGTACCATCCAATTTAATACTCCCATAAGCCCTCAACTCTAAATTTCTATAAACCCTAATCCCCAAAAAGATTATAAACCTTTAGAGTCCCATTAGCCCTCCAAGACCCTAAGCGGATCTATTTGGAACTAAACCCTAAAATCTAAAGCCTGAAGCCTACGACCTAAACAGCAAACCCTAAACCCTTCAACCCTCAACAAATCTAAACACAAACCCTCCCCGGAGCCTCACGAAACTCTCATAGCGACAAGCCCAGGGCTTCCTGCTGCGTCCACCGGCCTGGGAACCGGAGCCGCTAGCCTTTTTTACTGGGGGTTTAGAAACTTAGATTAGGGCTTAGGATTTAGGATTTTTAGCCTTTTTTTTCGGGTTTGAAGTTAAAGCTTGTAATGTAGAAGCTTGAACATTTTTGTAAAACTAGTCCCTGCTGCCAGCCTTAGAGTAATCTTTATGGTAGCCCTTGAAAGGAACCCTATTCCGAAAATTACAGCTCCCAACTTAGGGTTTTGGGGCCGAACATTTCCGGCCTACAATGCGGAGTTAAGACGTCAAGTGTTTTTTTAGCAGGTTTGCGGAAGAAGGGCTCAAGGCTTCCAGTGCTTCCAGGGTTTAGGGGTTCGGCGTTCGGGGTTTTGCGGCTTCAGGGTTTTAGGGGTTTTGAGTTCTAGGGTTTGCGGCCAGGGGTTTAGGGCTTAGAGTTCTCTGGGGCTTCTGTGATTGGTGGACTCAGGACTTGAAACTAAAAGCCTCCACAACGCATTTAGGGCTTTGGCGGTTTAGCTTAGGAGTCAGAGAGCCAAAAATCCTGAAGTAAGGAGCCTACCTTGCCTTAACTTACATGAAGGATCCCTCTTTTTACGAAATGCTGGGCTCTGGGGGAAGCCAAAGAGTGAGCAGTCGCTGGACTTTTTCTTCTCCGAGCTGGGAGACAGGTCCTGCACTGTAAAGTCTTGCAAGGCACCTGAAAGGGAGGATTACCCACAACTAGCCTTTCGGGGCTGGTTTAAGTCTCAAGATGCTGAACTATGGTCCTTAGCACACCTAAATCTAAAGCCCCCACCCTGAAACTCTTAAATTGGGGGTTGTTGACTTTTTTGTTTGAGGCTTGGACGTTGCAGATTGGATCGTGCCCTGCCGAGCAGACGGCTGTTCCTGCCGCTCTGAAGGGCCTTGACCCCACCAAGGACACTGTTGATGATACAAATCCTGCATTACTTTAAGGACCCTGAACTATGGGAATTATGGTATATTCCTGATTCTGGGTAATGCAGGATTTATATCATCAACCGCAGCACTCCTCTTTGCTTTGACAGGAACTTCGCGCATGGCTGTAACAGGGAGACGTGGCAAACGCCGCATGGCCTTCGGTGCGAGCATGGCCGGTCCATGTGCATGAAATGCAGTCATGAAGCCCATGCCTGTACTTGGAGGGTCGGGGGACTTAGTAACTGGTAATTTTAGGTCCCTAAAATTACCAGTTACTATGTCCCCCGACCCTCCAAGTACCAACTGACTGTCACGCTGCGAACCTGTGGTGCCTGTCGTCGTTTGCTTGTTTCGTGGTTTTCTACCGGTTTCTTCTGGACAACAGGAGGGCTTCGTAGGCATTTGTATGGGGAGCATATGCTTTCTATAAGGAACCCCTTAATATGGCGGGCGTCCCCAGGCTTCAGATAGGGCGGTAAAAGGTTTCACGTAGAAGCCTGAAGAGTTAATAAGACAGCTTGGAGGTTCAGGGGTAGTTGTACATAGGGTTTTATATCCCCGAATATGGGTTATAGGTATAGCTATCCTACTTATAACTCCACTTATAACTACCCATGAATTTCCAAGTAGTCTTGGGGGTTTAAACAGGAGCTACCGCGATATGCGATCCCACTCGAACTATTCAGGTCTCTCTCTTGTCTGAACCCCAGAAAACTTGTCCCCCTGTCTTCTTGTGACACAACACTACGTAAACATAACAGTTCTTCTGGGGGGATGTTTGTTCCGAGAGGGCCCGATACCCCCTAACTAAGGAATGTACCATAAGCCAGAATCTAAGGATCGTCGTGATAGCATAAAGTACATCAAACGGTGCCAGATTAAGAGCTCAAAAATCGGTCGTGGGTTTTCCCCTAGAAAGCCCGAGAGACAGAGTTTTCCTCAATCAAAGGATATTGGGATTTCCGGGTTTCCTGAGAAAGGTCGCTGCTGTCTTCGCAGCTGGGGCCAGCCGGGTCCACAGATGCTCGGGCTTCAAGACTGGCATATAAGCATATACACAGATGAATGCATTTTTTTGTGTATGTATATATATATATATATATATGTATAAGGATAGGGTTCACATATATTTATTCATATATATATATATATATATAGATATATATGCAACGGAAGCCACTGTCTGCCCTGCCTTGACTTCAGTCGTCCAAGTTTGCAGAGGAGGGCTCTTAGACCCGAAATCCTAAACCCTACCAAGGCTTTAGAGGTCCAGGAGTGCCTAGTTTCGAAAGTAAGGAAAGTTCCGTGTATGCAGCTCCCCAGTTCTCCATAGAGCCCAGGGGCCCCTTCCCCTTGATTAAGGAATATATTAAACCATATTCTGATGGAATATAAGACTTCGGGCTAAGGGTTTAGGGAGGGTATACCGTATACCATAGTATTTGGGCCCCTATAACTTGAGGCATATTCCTCTATTGAGGAATATTGGGCTTTCCGGGCATATACTGCTTAGGCCCTAAACAGCTTGGGTCAGCAGAACAAATTTTATGTGGGATAGCACAAACCTAGCACAAACAGGCCGCGGTCCATCTCCTACAAGTGAAAACTTATCGCATTTGGACTTCTACACTCTCTGCAAAAAAAGACATGGTTCTATGCGCACCGACAGCTGGTCCAACAACACGTGAGAGCTACATCTTTGCAACAGCCTTGGTAAAGACAGTTGATAGACAGTTGCGGGCTGGGCAGAGCAGACGAATATCGAACAAGACAGCGCGACCGCATGTTCCTTCGAAGTCCCACACACCCCGACTCTGGGAATCCGTCGCTCTTCCAACAGTTGTTGTGGGTAAGTGTCTCTGGGTACACGCAGGTCTGCTCCTTTTCGGAGACGTCACTGTTGGCTTTGGTGCATGGCGAGAGTGGCGAATGCTGCTCGTCATGATGGTAGCATGCATTGCGTCGGGATTCTCAAATTATGTAAACTCTTGTCAACTGGTGTTTGCAGGCTTAAGGCTCCAATGCAGAAAAGCATTACGATGACCTTGAGACCTCTGTCGGTTCGAAGCACATCAGCGCTCCTACACATAGCTCTTGCGGCCGTAGCGGCCAGCCACACAAGGGCTCAAGAACCCCGCGGTTGAGGATTATGGGATGCGCAACAAGGATACGCGAACCCCAACCCCATTCAACCGTTGGTTTCTCGTCCCTGTGCTGGTGTGAAGTAAAGATACAGCTTCCTTAGTAGGCCCGCGGCTAGTTGTTGCATGCTAACCATACCAGAGCTACCCATGCGCCTGATACAACCCTCTCAACCCAACAGAGCCCTCAAGGTGCCTTTGAAAGGAATCGAATCCTATTGACCAAAGCAAGGCTCGCCGATGCAAAACCCTAGAGAAGCCGCTACACAGCCCCCGGTCACTCCTCTGGGATCCCTGCAGAAGCCCTTCGAAGGAATCCTACTGAGCCACTACTTGGAGGGTATTTCGGGGACTTAGTTTCTGGTTATTTTAGGGACTTATAACTACCAGGATCCCTTTTTAGGGTACTTATAAGTCTACTTACTACCTACTTACTAAGTCCCCCGACCCTCCAAGTACCCTCAACACCAACCCCGAAAACCTAAACCAAAACCTTAAAACCTAAGCCAAAACCCCTTAAAACCTAAGCCAAAACCCTGAAGCCTAAACCCTAAAACCCAAAAGCCCTAAACCCTAAAACCTTGAAGCCCCACGCAGCCACCGCTTGGATTTCAGGCTGTGGCCCAGTCGAGGCGAAGCTGACGAAGGCTCAGTCGATTTCTACTCATAGCCAAACGGGGGGCTTCTTATAGGGTTTAGGGTTTCTGAAAATTGGGGGTACCCTATGTTGGGGGTCCTTATAATATATGTAGGATATCATATTAGAGCCCCCTATTCTTCTACTTGAGGGTCGGGGGACTTAGTAACTAGGGGTTTCTATAAGAGGTTCCTTTAGGGGATCCTTTAAGGGTTCCTTTAAGGGATCTATAGCGGTTTCTATACATGGACGGTCGTGGGACTTAGTACTTGGTTATATAAGGGACTGATAAGTACCATAACCCCAATTAGGGCCCCTTTTAGGGTACTTATAAGTCTACGTACTAAGTCCCCCGACATTCCAGGTAGGGTCTAGGGTTTGGGCTGATGTCGGGGCTGGGTGCTTCTAGTGTGTTTTGAAGGATTTGCAAGGCTTGATAGGGCTTTGCACTCGCCAGTGCCGATGCTGCCGATCGCGAAGCGCCGCGAGAGGCGTGCCTACGCCCATGCGCCGCAGCCGGCGGCCGGGACCCATGGCTCTCCGCCGCTACGGTTTATAGGGTTTAGGGTAGTAGAGTAGGTAACCTTTAACCTTTTTTGGGTAGTATATAGTCCCTATATAATCCCTATATAACCAAAAAGGTTGCAACCTGGTGCCGGAGACTCCTCCGAGCCTCCACGGGGGTTGGGTGAAACGCCAGGGCCAGCGGCAGCTTGTCGACAACAACACCCCACCGACCAACCGCTTGGCCTGCGCTATGGCGCCGGGACAGCCGGTGACACCGCCCTTGGAAGATTTTCACCGCACGCTGGGGTCGCTTGGCTTGGTTTCTTTAGAGGGTTTAGTGGTGGCGTAAAATACTGTACCCGTCACCCTAAACCTTTCGACCCAAAACCAAGGATCCGCCGATATGTGCTCGTGTGGGGCTGCAGTACCACTTCTGGTTCTGAGAACTTACTCCTCATGATGACTTTCAAGTACGGGAAGTGTTCACCATGTGAAGCCCAAACTCCTTCAAGCCTGTGAACCCTCTACTTACACATTTCAGAAGCTCCAGGGGTGGGGATTCCCAATAAACCTACTTCCTTCAAGGGTCAAGAAAGCCTTCCGGCCTTAACATTAAGATCCCTACTTCAGTCCTTCTGAATGGAAGGCAGTGATCAGGGGTCTACATTATCATGGTACCGAAGCTGTGCCTCTTCCCCACAGCTGTAGTAGACCTAAGACACAAGAGTGCGTGAACGGCGGCCAGGAATTGAGGTTAAGGGCTCACATTAGTGGATCCCTATAGCAGTCCCCATACAACCCCCAATAATAGTCTCCATGATCCATTCCCCCATTCCCTACTAATCTAGGTGCTACGGTGCTTCGCTCACAGCCAGAACAAGCCTGGAATGAGACAACCCCAAGCACAAACCCAGGGCCCCGGGCTTAGCAAGAATCCTCACCAGCTCCCAGCACCTAAACTAAAACAGACGTTTTAGGGTTTCGGGTTTAAGGGTTCAGGGTTTGCAACAAGGTCAAAGCCCTAAACCGCAAGTCTCTGCTACGCAGGAAGGTCGGCGCCACAGTGTCTTGCGAAGTGCGTCCGTACATGGCGAGGCAGGCGTGGAGGATAGCCCTCGATAATGCAAGGGCCCCTCAAAGGGTACGATGCATTCCGTAGTAGGGTGAAAATTAGGGGCCTATGAAGGTATCATAAGGCTGCCTTTAAGGGATCCCTTTAAAGGAACCCCTTACCCTTAAAGGGTACTACAGTGGGCTCTATATAATATAGTGGGGGGCCCTCAAAAAGGATTCGATACTTGGAGGGTCGGGGGACTTAGTAACTGGTTATATTAGGGACTTATAAGTGCCATAACCCCACCTAGGGTCCCTTTTAGGGTACTTATAAGTCTATCTTCCTACTACCTACTTACTAAGTCCCTTGACCCTCCAAGTAATCATGGCGCTAGTGTTGAATTATAGACGGGCCTGTAATAGACTGTGGTTTTTGGGTTAGTTAGTTATACATCTGGAATAACGTAAAGTGTTCAGGCCCATGTAGGAATGCCAACCCTGAGCCGCCAACCCCTAAACCCTAAGCCCGGAATACCAACTCCAACATCTGGAGACCGAAGCCTAAAGCTGAGAGACAGAGCCCAGAGTTTTGGGCTCAGGGTTTACGATTTACTATAGGGGCCTTAAGACTTGCCAATACTATTTTTTGGGTGGATTCCCTATCAAAAGCGTAGTATACTGGGCACCAAGACCTTATTTTAATTATTGAGCCTATATTGGGTTTAGGGTTTAGGGGTCTTGAGGCGTTGCACTTTCAAGCTTAGGAGTACAGAAGGTAACCTTTAACCTGGGGTGCTATAATCACTAACCCCGAAGGCCAATCCCTAAACCCTGGAATCTCTAGAACACTAAACCTGAGCCCTAAACCCCGGAATCTCAAGAACCCTAAACCTTAAGAGCATGGGCCCTAAATGCACTAAGTTCCCGAACATCTCGGGCACTTCTTGGCAGGTGCTTGCGCTAAGCTTCATGCGTGCGCCTGAGCCCTGCATCCTTGCGCTACTCCAGGCGGACCGTGGATTGGGGGAGCTGGTCAGAAATCAGCTATAGCACCTGCGATCAGGTACATACCCTCATAGTACAAGTCATGGTAATATGCACAAGAGTTTGAAAAGGATCCTGTTTTAGGAACCCACAAGAAGGCGGCACCCCTACACAAAGTCCCTAGTTGAGAGAACTATTTAGGGGCCACAAAAACACATAAGCATAAGCATTTTTTACGGGGATATCCCTGTCCTTATTCATTTTTGCTTATGTGCGTTCTCGGGGCCCTAACTATCCATATGAAGAATGCCAAACTGTGTTCATCTCCAGAGCTTGGAGCTTGCGATTGCCGAAGTCCGACTGAACGCAGACTACGTATACTTGACGCAGTGAAGTCTGGTTGCTGTTGCTGCAGCTGTCTGGGGGCTTACGGATTCAGGGTTTTAGGGTTATGGGCTCTAGGGCGTAGGGTTCACTGTAAGCATGATAACCCTGCGTGGGGACGAGCACTGGGCATTGTGGATCGCAACATTCGAGCCGCCTGATGCCATTCGAGCATGCAACACCAACTAGCTCCGACATGGTGAGGAACATGCATCGCTCATTCTGGGATCTTGAGCGACACCCCCAACAAAGGCCTGTAAAAACCATCACGCACCCAGGACCTACAGAAAATTCCAGCTGAAGCCGAATAGAACCGTATAAACTCCAATAAAGCCTTTTTAATTTCCTCAAGAGAGCTTTAACGAACTAACTTTGTTCTGGTGCCGGCATCCGCCAAATTAAAAGCCTCAAGAGCCGTTAGCAACCCCTCAAAACCTCTCGCCTGCCAGCGCCGGGCGTCGGGCGGAAAGCGCCTCTGCTTAGCCGCTTAGCTCTCCAATACTCAAGCTTTATCTTTTTTGGGTTAGGGTTTAGGGGTGGTTTAGAGTTTAGGCGTTCGTATGGTTTTAGAGGGTTGCCAGAGACCCTTTTCTGTGTTTTAAAAAGCCTTCTTCGAGTTTAGGGGTTCTTATAACCCTAAAACCCTGAACCGGGTAGTAATGGCCTGGGCAAGTAAGGCCAGTTTCGGTCCGGAGCTGGACCTGCTGGCGGCCGTGCATCTTGAGGCCACTTGGAAGATAATGGGAATTTGTAGGCAAGGTAATGGTTTAGGGTCCCTTTGATGGATCTATAGGGGTACAATAGGGGTCCTGTGAAAGGAGCGGTGCCTTTAAGGTCTAAGGGAATTAGTAACTAAGGTTATATGTACCGTACCAAGTGTGTACCCAATTATAACTACCTTACTGCCAACCCTGGTTACTAAGTCCCACGGTCCTTCAAGCAGCGGTTTCAAAAGTGGCCTGTACCCTTGGGCTTTGGGCCGGCTCGGCCCAAAGCCCTGCAAAAGCCAATGTAATACCCCTTGTCGACCTCGAAAATCCTCATATAAGACCCGATTGAAAGCCCCTGACAAGACCCGTCAATACCCTTCTGAAACCTGATAAGTCTTTTAAATTCCGCAAAACACTCTTTAGAAGACTCTTGAAAAGGACCCTCCACCTGAAGGGTCGTGGGACTTCATAGCTAGGGTTATAAATGAGGGAACTATAGCTGTAAGTACTTATAACCCCAACTAAGGTATTATAAACCTTACTTACCAAGTCCAATCATGATCCTCCAAGCACAGGAGGATCGGCAGCTGTGGCCTTTGGGTCGACCCTCCGCATGGCTTTGGGATCTCGGCGCCCTTCTGAGCAACAGAACGAGAGAGCCCCCTAGAGTTTAGGGTTTCGAATTTAACGAACGTATGTAATATAGGAGCCTAAATAATTACCGCTACTACTCTGGGGGGGTTCCTTATTATAACTATATAATGGGCCCCAAAGCCCTATTCTAATTGTTTAGGCTCCTATAGTATACATTGACCTTTGACTGCAAGGCACTTTCCCTAATTAAGGGATGCTGGGCTCTCTGGAGACCTGGCTTCCTTTCAGTATCGGGGCTCTTATTGGGGCAGTGCGAAGTTGTGCAAGGGATCTATGCCGGCTTTTTGCAGGCTCCTAACCGTCTTACGTGGTTTTCAGAGCGGCTTTTTCCGTTGCCTTGCTTGAGATAGTGACAACTACTGTCAACTTCTTATCCATCACCTAGCTCAGACGTTTCAAGCCCAAGTACTTGGCCACCTCTTTTCGCGGAAAGAAGGTGAGCATCCTGCAGCACAAGGGTTTTGTGTTGTTCACGCATCTCGCCTTTATGCAATGGTTGAGGTTCTTCCAGCGGTGCTGATTGATCTCTCTATCATTTCTTGCCATGCCCCGTCTAACGTCAGCCTTTCTTCGTTTGACTGGATTCTCGCATGTGCAAACGGTTTCAGTCTCATGCGCACTGCGCTGTTTGGCTTCTTGCTGATGTGTTTGCAGCTTTCGGCTAGGTATTCAGAACTGTAGCAAGACCCGCGGTTATTGAAAGAACAACCTTATTCCTGTTCATCAGAATCTCTCATCATGTCCTACTTTGAGTGCCCAGCAACAGGCACGGGGGCCTACCATGGAATCGGAAGGGACTCGTTCCCAAGATCCTGACAAATTTTCGCCTCACTTCCCTGAATCCAAAACCCTCCCCCCCCCCCTCCCACACCCCCCACAACTCCGAAGTCCTGAGCCCTAAACCCCTTACCCTGGGTTTGGAATACCATACTTGAATACTTTTTTGGCACCTTTTCCTTAAAGGAACCATGATGAAATAAAAGTCTATACTTTTTCCTCCCTGCTTACTTCAAAGTCTGGCTCAGCCCTAAACCCCTTACACCCCCCCCTCTTACACCTCAGCCCTAAACCCGAGAATCCGAGCACTCCGACCCCTGGGATTCCTTGCTTGGAGGGTCGGGGGACTTAGTAACTGGAATTTGGGGACTTATAAATACCATAACCCTAGTTAGGGTGCCTTTTAGGGCACTTATAAGTTTACTTACTACCTACTTACTAAGTCCGTGAACTCTAAACCCTATAGTACCGTTATAGAGCCCTTTAAAGGAACCCTTATATAATCCGCGTTAAAGGAGCCCCTACTTGCTAAGTCCCCTAAAGACCCTCCAAGTTGAGGTGAAGGCAGCGTCCTGGTAGCCCTGGGCCAGCCAGGCCGGGAGCTGAGCAAAGCAGCCTACCTTTGGTTACTAGGGAGTGGAGGAATGGTAGTAAAAGCAGTTATAATTGTACCCCATTCCTCCATTCCCTACTAACCAATGGTAAGTTTACCCTGACCCTGAAAAGAAACACCCTTGTCCTTTTTGAAATAATAGACAGAGCCCTATACCTATATCCTTTAGTGGGAATTATTTAAGAAGGTCTACTAGCCGGTCTGTTTATTCTTTTGGGGGGAACCATGAAAAAGGACAAGGCCGGAGCAAAGCCCGCGGCTGCCGGTTCTGCTTGGGTAGCTATAAGTGGGATTTGTTTACAGTTTAAGGGTTCCTTTAATGGGAGCTATAGGGATTCTATAAGGGTTCATGGGGGTAGTTATCTTAGTAGCTGAGTGGATGCACTTTGCACTAGCTATCTTACTAGCTGACTTTAAAGGGATCTCTAGGGGCTACTATAAGGGATCTATAAGGATACTGTGCTGGGCATAAATAAGTGGGATTCGATATCCTAGTAGTAGAGTAGGTAACCTTTAACGTTTTTCGGGTAGTATAGTCCCTATATACTCCCTATATAACCGACAAGGTGGTTATCTTAGTAGCTGAGTGGATACACTTTACACTGTTTGGGATAGTATTACCACTATGAAACTAAAAGTGTACACGTTGGGGGAGCTTATGAACTCAGCAACTAAGTTATAAGTGGGAGTTTTTAAGGGTTCCTTTCTATCGGGATTCTATAGGGGCAGCTACAAGTGGGCTAATAAGTTTCCTGACATGGGTCATAATTTTGGTTGGCCTCGCTTGACCTTGGGCACATGTCCCGCTCCTCCTGCTCCTCCTACTTCTATTTCCACCTCCGCTTCTGCCCCTGCTTCTACCTCTACTTCTACATCTGCGACAACTACTACTCCTCCTACTGCTACCGATACTACCACCACCACGACTAGTACTGCCACTGCTGATACTGCTTCGCGAGTGGTATCAGTCGCAGTCCGCGTCTTAACAGCAGCAGCGATTTGGACTCGTGATACACAGATCGAAGGACGATGCCTTTATGTTACATCTTCTACTCTAAGTTTCTAGAAGCACAAACATCATGCTTGAAGCTCAGGTGCACTACAGGGCACGGGACTTAACATACACCGAAGGCTTAAACCCTGTTTGTTTATGCTGTAAAACCCAAAGCTAGAGAAAGCCTAAAATCCCATAAGCCTGACCTCATCGAGTCTCCCAAGGCCCTGGCTCCACTCCTATTGTCCTGCACCGGGTGGAGCTTGCGCCCAGGCGTTTCTCTTGCATTTTTTTATCAATGCCGTGCCTACTACTGCTACCATTCTTGTTGCTACGAGAGTTGTAGCTTCAATGCCTGTATTGCTCCTTTGGCCTATTGCGATGATCATTGTTACTGTGTTGATTGGTGGCGAAAGCGTTGCTCCGCAAGTTACGGGCACAACGAGTGCCATTCTTGGGAGAAAGACCTTTTATGAACTTTCGCGTGGGATTATGATCAGCAGCTCCAACAACCAAACAGCTATGTAAACCCTAAAGCTAGTCCGGCAACATCACACGAAGGGCTCATCATTCCGAGAAGAGCCACTTGAGGGAGAAGTCAATAAGAGTTGCATCAACATTCCATCCAAGAAACGGGACTCAGACAAGCTGGCCATGGAAAAAACACATTGAGTTTGTGTTGATGTACGGCTGGCCTCAAGGACCAAGACGCACCGCTATACATTCATCCGGGCAGGACTCAAAGTCCTAGCCGTCGGAGTACGAAATCAAAACGCTCCGGTGCTTTGAGGGGTTCCATGCACCAGAGCGTCCAAAATATGGACAAAATCGTCATCCCCCGCCCTTGTATGACTGCATCTTGCAAGTCAGCCCCAGATGGGAAGGGGATCAAAATCACAAATGCCCAGAGGGCGACAGAAGCATCCTGGTGGGGCAAACCAGGGGCGCTATCCGAGAAAACGACAAAGTCTCCCCCTCCCGGATAGCAACGGGACCTATCGAAACAACGGAGCCGGACAGCAGTGGGGGTATCACCGCCGTTGCCTAGCAAGCCTAGCGACAAAGTCTCCCCGGCTCGAAAGGCATGGATTCACTGAGCCGAACCGCGGCTTGGGTAACACCACAGCTCAGCCAAGCACGGCTAGCAGCACACCGGGGCTGCCTCTGGTGTCGCACTCCCAAATGCAGGCCACCACAACACCTGCACTCACGGCTTTGGTACAGCCGGGATCTCCTTAGCTTGGCACTCCCCTCATTGGGAGCCCAGGGGCACCACGTGGAGGTGGGAGATCCTTCCGCCCCCGAAAAAACACATTGAATTTACCCCACCATCAACTGCAGAGTCGTTCGTGCCCAGCGCAAACCACGGTCGAAAGGTTGAAGATGGTGTCTTTGGGTTTAGTCACTAATCGGGTTTCCTTGCTACGGCATCTAACTTTCGAATCCCTAACGCTGAAGTGCTAGTTTCCGAAAAATAGGGGACCCTCATATAGTACCCTAAATAGTAGGATCCTTATTTTAAGGACTTCAAAGTAAGGGACCCCGAATTTTCGGCAACTATAAAAACTCTTGTAAACCCCTCTAAAGGAATCCTGATACTACCCTTTCAGTAACCCCTCAAATGACCCCAAGATAAGGTACCCCAAATACTCGGAAACTCCCAATTATAGATCCCTTATAGTACCCTTAAGGATCCCTTCAAAGGAACCCCTAAACCCTAAATCCCTAAACCCCAAGTTTTTGGAAACTCCCAAAGTGCAACTCTAAACCCTGAACCCTAAACCGAGTAGGAGCTTCATCTCGCAGCTTTGGGAATCCCGGATGTCAAACCCCTGGAAAGCAGAAGAAGCACGAGAACAGAGGTCCTTTAAAGGGATCCTTAAGGGTTCCTTTAAGGGATCTACAAGGGATCTATAGGGTTTAAGGTTTAGGATAAGGGGCCTTATTATAAATTGAATAATATAGGACTGGGTTCCTTTAAAGGGCTCTAAAAGGGCTACTGTAAGGGCTACTATAAGGATCTACTATAGAGGTCATGGGTTTCAAGGTTCAGGCATATAGGGACCTGAATACAATACCATAGGGGCCTTACTGATTGGGTTCCTTTATGGCTTTGTCCAAAGGTTTTATCAGCATGACTGTAAGGTGTATTTTGGGTGTGTTTAGTATAGGGGGCTAAATAATTAGCTATACTGGTTGGGGGAGGTTCCTGATTATAGCTATAGTATACTATACCACGAAACCCTGTTTTTATTATTAAGGCCCCTGCATTAGAAAGACCACACCAATCGCAGTAGTAAGCATCACCGTCGCAGTCGACAACCATATAGAATAGAGTGTTCTGCCGATAATCACAATAGTAATGCAAATGGTGACAGTCGCGAGGTTAATGTCAATAATAGTTCAAGTCGCGACAGCGACAATTAAGATGACGATCTTGATAACCACTGCTATAATCACAAGCATAATCATCATAGTCCTCATTGACATGATAGCAGTACCAGCTGTTAGTCCTAATGACAATCACAATGACAATGATGTTTCTGAAGATCGTAATGGTCATCAGTTCGAGCACCAGTACACAGGCGTCTCCAAAAGCCCTAGCTCTAAACCTTAAGCCGTAAACCCTTCCAAGACCTATCTTGTAGACACAGCTCAGCCCTGAACCCTAAACCATCCTAAAGCCTTATACCTGGGTTTGGAGTACCATACTTCAAGACTTTTTTGGGGTACCTGTTCCTTGAAGGAGCCATTATGAAATAAAAGTCTATACTTTTCCTCCCTGGTCACTTCAAAGCCCAGTTATATTTCCAAACCAACCCTAAATCTGATGCACCAAAACGTGAAAAAAAGCCTAAGCTCCTAAAAGCTTCATATTTATAAACTAAACCCAAAACCTTCTGTATAAAACAATGAGCAAAAGCCTAAGCCCTGAAGTCCGAGCCTCTTGGGAGGGCCGACTTCGAGTGGCTTGGCATCCCGGGGCTCTCCAAGCCACCAGCAGGACGGCGGTTCGGGTGGTGGTTCTTTGGGGATGGGGAAGGGTGGATGGTTTAGGGTTTAGGGTTGGGTGGGGTGATTTGAGTGTTAGGGTTTCGGGCAAAGGGCTTGTTCAAACAATGTGGGCCGTGGAGCGGAGGGTTAGGCAGAAGATAGGGAAGCTTAAGCGTTCCGGCGCTGTTTTCAGGGCATGGTCGGGACTGCGAAATGGCCTTAAAATCCTCGGGTTACAGGCAGGAGAAGTTTTCTGCCTCCATCAGGGTAGTTGTCAAAATTATGGCCCCTTATTGGATACCCTACGGACCCAAAAAGTGACCATAATTTTGACAACCACCCATCAATATCGAGGGCGACATGCCTTCCAGCTCCAGTTCTCCATCGGTTCCATGAGCCTCCCCTTCCGAATACTATGGCCGCAGGAAAAGTTTGTTGCAGCTTCCGCCTCACTGCAGCGGTGCTCGTGGCCGTCGGGGACTTGCAGGTGCTGAAAACAGGCACCGGTGTTTTGCTTCAGGTTCGGGCAAGTTACTTGGAGGGTCATGGGTAGTTATAAGTAGGGTTATAAGTCCCCGAATATGGATCATAAGTACAGTGGCCCCACTTATAACCCCACTTATAATTAGCATGATTCCTTGCATTCTGTCAACTGCTGCCGCTTCTGCTGACGCCTTCCACAGTATCTAGTTGCGTCTATCACTTTGTTCAAGAAGACTCCTTGCAGTTTTCGGACTTCGTGGCATTGGGATTGGGGCTCAGGAGGGTGCTTCCGTGCCTAAGGCCGCAGACTACTCGCCCCTAAATCTATAAGCCCCTGAACCCGCAAGCAGCCCAGAGAAGGTGTGCCAATGCACCTTCAAAACAGACGCAAAAGCCTCAAGCACATTGAGTCAGAAGAAGGCGCCTTCGCCTTACTATAGTACACGTATCTCAACCCTCAGTCATAACATCACGTTCCAAGCCCCTTATTATTGCCTTCCATGTCTTCTTCTTAACCCCAAACCCTAAACCCTAAACCCTGCATTGGGTCTTCTTCTTTTGCGGCTGTGCCATGCCAAGGCTGAGCCAGACAGCCCGGTGGTGCTTCTCAGCGAAGGCACCTCGAACTTCCGAGTGTGTATGTATGGGTGGTTGTCAAAATGATGGTCCCTTTTTGGGTACCCTAAATATTAGGTGCCGTATTGTAGTAGAGACCCAAAAAGGGACCATAGTTTTGAGAACCACCCGTATGCATGGATGTATGTATGCATGTATTGCGAGACCCTCGCGCGACGCTGGAAAGAAAGTATGTACGTATATATGTATATAGAGTCAAAGAGACAGAGGGGGAGAGAGAGAGAGAGACAGAGACAGAGAGAGACAGAGATAGATAGGGATCTGATAGGTGATTTAAAGGGCTTCTGTTTTGGTGGATTCCGTGGTATCCTTACAGCAAGGATCCTAGCACTCGGGGGATGCCGTTTGTTGAACCTCCCGCATAGGCCAAGGTTGAAGACAGCACCAGGGAAGCCCTACAATAGCCCACCACGGTGCCCTGCTCAGATGGCCTCCAGTTCCTCTGCCAGAACTCGCTGGTGGATTTGGGAAAGCTGAAGCCGTGGCCTCGATACGACAAGTGCAGTTTTCTTCGCTGGGCCTGGGCAAATTTTGAGTGAGCATTTATTCAATCGGTTCCTGTTCATTCTCAGTTGGCCTCCGAGAAAAGCACAGGAGAAGAACAAAAAAGGCAGCGCCCATTATTCAACAAGATCACCTCGTTGCAAGGACCATGCAAGAAAGATCTCTATGCAGGCAAACGAGACAACAGGTCACACCGAATAATGTGAAGCGACCTGGGACTGGCATACCAAACAACCACGGTCCCTAGCAACAGGGTTCTCTTCTGTCGTAGGATATCACACTCGGTCATTACTGCTTTTTCGGGGTCCTAGTTACGCGCTCTACCTCCAATGTCAAGCTCGAAACCCTTGCACCCTCAAGCCAAAAAAACATGAAAGCCTCCCACCTCCATGACACGCTGGGACAGCCGCTCGTCCGAGGCGCGAAGGAATCTGACCTCGAGAGACACTTCTTGGAAAAGGGATTCCACACAAATGCCCTTTCCCCCCCCCGCCCCGCCGCCCACCACACCCAAACGCAAAAGCACCCCCCCGAACAAAAACAAAAACAAAAAAGATGTTTGTTTGTGTGTGTGTACATAACATATGTACATATATATATATATATGTACATATATATATATACATATACATATATGCGTATATATATATATATATATATATATATATATATATATATATACGCATATACAACTGTCTAATTATTCATTTTTAGTTTCATTTATGTTTATGTATGTGTGTATATATATATATATGTATGTATGTACCCATCTGTGGCTGTGTATATATATACACACATATGTATATATATATATATATATATATATATATATATATATATTATTTGTTCATGATCTCATTTGTAATTTGTATATTGATTGGCATATTTCTATTTAATACAAACGCAGCAAAGAGAGTAAAAAGCATGCACACTAAAGCCCACACCTTAAAAATCCTAAGCGAACCGAATCCCAGCCGAGTCTTCTGAGGCTCGCAGACTTGGGCCTCGGCAAGCGCGGCACGGCGGCCGCCCTGGGCCTGACGACAGGGAGGTCGGAGTTGGATCCTTTAAGGGGCTTATAAGGGGATTATAGGGTTCCTTTGAGGGGACTATAAGATTAAAGGGCTCTATACGTGCTACATGGGTTTAGGGATGGTCTCCTTTATTTAAGGCTTCCTTTAAGGGTTCCTCTGAGGGCTCCTTTGAGGATTCCTGCAAGGGTTTCTACGGTGTCCTCTGCGCTTATTCTAGTGGCCTTCATAATTACCTACACTATTTTGAGGGGCTCCTTACTATAACCATAGTATAGTAGGCCCCAGCACCCTATTCTAACCATTAGGGAGGTCCTCTAAGGGTTCTGCAAGGGAGCTTATGGGTTTAGGGTTGCTGGGTCTTTAAAGGTCCCTCTAGTTGGGTCCTTTACGGGTTCTATAAGGGATCTTCTGGGGGTTTACTGGAGCCAAACCCCGTTTTGAAGCCTCTGCAAAAACCCACATATAACACCATGAAGTCTTTCATGTTACAAACCTCCTTTGAAGCCTTTGGAAGCCCCCTCCAAGACCCAACTTACAACCCTCCAAAGCCCCCAAGTGTTACAAGCCCCCAAACCCAGACCGCCTAATGCGCCTTGACCAACCAAGGAATATTTACTTGGAGTCATGATATTCAGAGCCCTGTAATTTAAAGTAGTTTTTCCTCAATCAAACGCCTCGAAATCCCCGCAATGGCCCTGAACCCCGAGATTAAGGTAGATTCCTGGATAAAGGGGTATTGTGCGCTCTGGGAAGCTAGTGGGTTCTTGATAAGGAAACATAAGCAAGCCATATGTATTTCCATAGGTTCCGATTATGGTATCTCAACTCACACTTCATGAGCAAGAACCCTAGAAGCTCTATCCCTGAATAGAAACCGGTAAAACCTACAGAACCCTTAAAGGGATACTTTAACCCCCATAGGTTTTCCCTGAACTTTAAGCCGTAAACTCCTTAACAAGAGCCCCTACTAGTCGAGTAGGTAACCTTTAACCCTTTTTGGGTAGTATCGCCCCTATATAACCCCTATATAACCCAAAAGGGTTAACCTTTAGTTCCCCATGATACCCGACACATAGGGAGCCCAGCTTAAGGTCCCACATGTGACGCCTAAGACTTCGGAGAGTTGGGCTTTCCCTGGGTTTGGAGTACCATGCTGGGGTTTAGGGTTTAGGGTTAGGGATTTAAGGGTTTGGGGTTTAGGGTAGTGCTACTACCTGGGTTTGGAGTACCATACTTGCATACTTGTCTTTGGCACCTGTTCCTTAAAGGAACCATTATGAAACAAAAGTCTATACTTTTTCTCCCTGGCTACTTCAAGGTCCAGTTTCGGCTTACTGTTCTTAGGATGCATTTCTTGAGATTCTAGCGTTTAGGGTTTCGGGGGTCTTGTGTTCTGAGGATGCATTTTTGAAAATTCTAGGTTCCCCAGTCCTTCCTATTTTGGGGCTCCCCGGCTATAGCTAAATACCAGGAAGAAGGGTACCCTTACTATGAAGGGGACACCGCGGAGCCCAGGTAGAATATAACAAGACTCCAAGGGATCATAGAACAACAAATTGCAGCAATGGCAATAAAAGTTGTCATAACCATAAGACTCCAAGGGATCATTTAACATATGGGTGGTTGTCAAAATTAGTACGGCACCTAATATTTAGGGTACCCAAAAAGGGACCCTAATTTTGACAACCACCTATCGTGTTTATTGTGGTTCTGGGGGTTTTCGGCAGGCCCAGGAGCTGGGCGGCGATTGCCGATGCGGCTGCAGGCACGGGCTGAGGGTTTTGGGGCTTTAGGATTTGAGAGGGGGAATTACTACTCTTGAACCTGTAAAAACTGCTTATCTATACACGCCACAACAGACCTTTCTGGAGGATTTTAGGGTTTACGTTTTAGGGTTCTAGGGTTTAGGGCCTTGAGTTCAGGGCTTTGGGGTTCTGTGTTTTGGGGTGTTGGGCTTTAGACAGTACTTCAAGCTTCAGGTGGGCTTATCAGTGGGCGAAAAGTACGTGTACCCCAGTTTGGGCTTATAGGTAAGCTTACGTGAAGTGAAGTGAGTTTGAAGCCTCTGTCAAAGTCCAGGATCTTCTAAGTAAGGCAAAGACCCCAGAACCCTCATGCAACCCTAGGAACCCTGAATTGAAAACCTCATAAAAACCCTACAGTGCCTCCAACTACCCATAGGCTCCATAGTAGTTCCTTTTGCGGGTTCATAATTAGAATTCTAAAAGGTAATCCCAACAAAGGAACTACTATGGAGCCTCAAAAAAATCACGGCCACCAGGACCTTCGCGCTTCCTCTTCCTTGGCTTCACCACTGGGGCCCCTGCAGTGCTGTGCCCTTCATGCATCCGATGTGTGCATTGCTAGGGACTTTAGAAGATCTCATAAGGGTTTCAGACAACCCCTTCAATTCAACGGGGATCCTAGCCACAAGGGAAACCCACCATATGGCTATTGTCAGCTGAAGCCGGCAGTGGCGAGAAATGCTTGTTTCCAGCCATGTTTGCGGTTCGATACATGTTGCAGGTACCTATGCGCATGAACATCTGTGCATGTGCACACGCACACTCTCACGCTCAGCGCATCTTCTTGCTCTCTTGTGCACAGCACTCCGATCTTTTCGTGGCAATAATGAACAGGGACGCTCGCGAGATAATTTGAGCTGAGGCAGATGCGACTCTGTGAAGACGAGGCCGGATTCTTGCCTGGGGCTGCCGGACCCCAACGGCAAAGAAGCGCTTCAATTGTAGAAACCTTGGGGCCCTCCGTCAGGCACCGACTTGCTCTCTGCTCCGCCTCGTGACGTCAGAGCAGCCGAGGCTTCTCAGCGAAATCCCCTGGACAGCCCAACACCCCTTGAAGTGAGGAATATGCCTTGCACTAGAGGAGTATGCCTGTCACTATAAAGGGCCTAACCTAGAACCGAAAACCCTAAACCCCGAACCCTAAACCCTAAACCCCTAATCCCTTAACCCCACTCCCTACATCCTAAACCCTAAACCCCGAACCCTGAACCCTAAGCCTATGATTCAAAGGTTCTTCTTCTCAACGAGGGGATTGATCTCTAAGCGAACCCCGGGGACTTCTCCTCGTCAGGGGCTTTGTGAAGAGGAGCCTCATGCTTAACTAGGTACCCGGAGAGCCCTATACATCACCGTAATAGGGGCAGTACCGGTGAGTAGATGTTCGGTGTTTTTTTAGGCTGTTGTAATGGCTGTCTTGGGGGCTTTATAAGAATTTTCCATCTCCTAACCCTAAGCGTTGCAGGGCTTCGGGCCTTAATACGTGCAGGCAGCGTCGTTGTGGACTTTCTGCTGTTAACTCAAACCGCGCTCCAGATTCTTTTATGCTAGACATCCCTTCTACTGAACCTTTCCAACCAACCCCTAAACCCAAACCCAAAAAAAATGTCGCATTGGAAGCAACTGCTTCGACCTTGTCAAACTCCAGTCAGACTTTGCAAGACGAGCTCTGTGCCAGTTGCGAAGCTGTTGTGGGCACCACCAGCTGCACTAGGTTCTCCAGTAATATAGTAAAACCCTTTTGCCCTCGTTATAGTACTTCGGGGTTCCCTTACTAAAACTGAACCAGGAAAGGGTACCTTTGTCATTTGGGTAGTTGTCAAAACTAGGGTCCCTTTCTGGGTCCCTATTATAATACGGCGCCTAAAATTTACGGTACCCGAAAAGGGACCATGATTTTGACAACCACCCATTCAGGGGACAGTGGGGACCCTAGTGTAGATCCACCAACGGCAACTGTGCCGTTCTGCCTCGTGGCTGAGAACAGTTCCAAGGCACCTCGTTTACTATGCACTCCCATGACCTAAACCCTAAGCCCTAAACCCTAAACCGTCAGTTAAGCTCCTTCTCACGCACCGAATACAAACAGGCCTCCGATCGTTCACGCGGTCGGCTTTGAGGACGAAGAGCATGGAATCTCAATTCCTAGAGCAGAGCGTTTAGGGTTTAGGGTCCGTTAGGGACTAGACTTGAAAATTTATGGGGAATATACACCTGAAACTACGGACGTGGCCTCAAAATTATGATTGAAGGTCTATTCCTTGATTGAGAGGTTTTTGGGCTCTCTGACTTTGGCGCCTGGATCCATGCAGCTCTCGGATGTGCCCCACACCAACAGAAACAAACCCTGGTCGGACGAGACCTCGGGACTGCTTGGGGGGTCGTCTGACTTAGTACGTAAGGTTATAAGTACCTGAAATGGGGCTGTAGGTATTTATTGCCATAGTTCCCCTTATCTATAACCCTACTTACTGAGTCCCACGATCCTTCAAGTAGGTCTTTTAGGGCACACGATCTACGCAAATACCAAAGCCAGAAGACCCGAGGCAGGAACCCCAACCCCGAGCTCGAAACCCCGGAAACCTCAAAGGCCTCACGAGCCTGATCTTAGTGGCTGAGTGGATACACTTTACACTTTTTGGGAAAGTATTACCCACTATGAAACTAAAAGTGTACACTTGGGGGGGGCTTATGAACTCTGCCACTAAGTGATAAACCAGCCCCTATCCTTGCAGAACCTCTCGGTTCTCAACACCTCGACTTCACACCAAACAAAACTAAGCTCAAAAGCTTGAACCCTCAAATAGAGTAGCCCCAACAAAAGAAGAAGGGGGTCGCCCCCTAAACCCCTAAACCCTAAGCCCCCTAAACCCTAAACCCCTAAACCCCCTAAACCCCCCAAAACCCCAAACCCTAAGCCCCCCCTCAACCCTAAACCGCGGGGTCGCCAAGCCGGGTTCTGAAGGACCCCAGCTCCGAGTCTCCCTGCGGCTTCCTGGCCCCGAGCCCAGCAAATGTCGAATTTCAAAGGGTATGTTAATTAGGGCTTAGGGTTTCTGGTTAGGGTTTCGGGTTTCTAATTAGGGTTTAGGATTAATTTCGGATTTGATTAGGGTTTAGGAGTTGGGGTTATCTTGTCTGTTTTTGTAGGGGGGAGTGGGAGAGGAGGAGCGGGTCTGTAGGTCTGGGGCTGTTCAGGTTTAGGATTTAAGGCTTAGGGAGGTGTGTAGGTTTAGGGGTTTGGGGTTCAGGATTTGTAGGGCATTGAGGGTTTTGGGCGGTGTAAGTTTTGTAAAGAGTTTCATGAAGGTTCAGCTGAGGTTTGTAGAGTGCGGGGTTTCGATAGATAAATGCCGCATTGTGATACCCTTCCCCCCCCCCCGAGCAGGTTTAGCGTTTAGGGTTACCCTAAACCCTAAACCCGGCAGCGCTCAGGCCTTCGACGCTGCCGGCGCTGCCTTTCGTTTCCGTCTGCGCTTTGCAGGTGGACCACTGGAGGCCCTGCTGTCTCAGTAGCTGAGTGGATACACTTTACACTTCTTGGGATAATACTACCCACTATAAAGCCGAAAGTGTACACTTTTGGGGACCTATGATGAAGGATCAAGGAACTTAAAACTGGGTTCTTGCAAGGGGATGTACTTGGTTTAAGTTACCATAATAAGGAAGCCATATTACCGACTGTAGATCCCCATTATGGTAACTCAAAAAATCTCCTCAGCAAGAACCCAGAAAAAGGGCCTGGGCTCTGGTACATACGGTTGATGATAGAAATCCTGCATTACCCATAATAAGGAACATACCATAATTCCCATAGCCTAGGGTCCTTAAGGGAATGCAGGATTTATATCATCAACAGTAGTGGCTTCCTCATGCGTTACTTACAAGACGAAGTCTCCTCTTCTAGGTACCAACGTCTCCGAAGCATTGGAGCATGCCTTTGCTTAGATCCCCAATACCCAACCTTTAAACTTGTTGGGATCTTTTGGTTTAGTAGGAATCGAAAAGTTTAACCTTTCAATTCTGTGGCGTATGGGGGAAGTAAGTTTGAAAAGTCTGGAACGAAGTCAGAATGACCTGGACACTGACGCTCTCTCGGTAGGCACCTTGCGTCGATGTGGAGAGGCACCGGGGGCGAGGGATCTGGCAGTCGCGGATTCAACGCAGAGCCGCTTTCGTGATGTGTGTCCTAACAGTGGGCTCCTACCACTATGGGCTATTAGACCCTAAAGATCCCTATTAGGACCCTATTAAGGGTGGATTAAGGTACCCTTAAGGTCTAATGGCCCATAGTGGGAAGCAGCACAACCTTACTGTCTCAAAGATTGGGCTTTGGGTCTTCCTACGTTCTATCCTCAGGAAAGGTTTTGTGAGGGCCGTAGCTTGTGGCTTCACCCTCGTATGCTCACCCCTCAGATGCAGCAAACTCAGGCATATCAGAGAGCCCGTTCGACCTGCACTGGAGCAGATTTAGATGCCAAGTCCCAGAATTTCCATACTTGGAGGTTCAGGGGTGGTTATACGTGGGGTTCATAAGTATGCGGTGTAGCTATGAATCATAACCCATATCACGGGACTCATAACCCCATTTATGACAACCAGCAACCCATGCACCTACAAGTAGAGATGTATGGGTACCGCATCAGCTTTCGCCAGGTTTTTCCCGCCTCGCAATTCCCAAACATAGCGCATTGTAGTAACATTAAGGATGGTATACTGTAACAATACAGACTTGTACATCAGGGTGTATTACGGTATATGACAGCATACTACCTGGTGCACTGTAGTATACTACATACTATAGTATAGTAGATTATAACCTAGTACAGCATACTATGATATACTATAGTGTCTTATAGCATATAATAGTGTTTTATGCTATATTATGCTACCTTTGTAGCATATTCCCCTGAGGATCTGAGGGGAAGCCCGCGTGGCCCCTTTGCAGGTGCGAGTCCGAGGCTCTGCCTCTTACAGCCAACAGCCGAGGGCTCGGGGAAGGTCTCCTTGGAGGCTCTTTTTTATTCCTTTGAGGGATCCTTTAAGGGTTCCTTCAGGGGATCCTTTAAGGGATTCCTTTAAAGGCTCCTTTCAGGGTTCATTTCAGGGCTCCTTTAAAAGGAATTGCTTTAAGGGCTCCTTCAAGGGATTCCTATAAGGTCTTTGGAGGGGGTTTAGGGGATTCCTTTAAGGGATCCTTTAACACATTCCTTTAGAGTATCCCTTGAAAAGTTTAGGGCTTTGGGTGGATTTTTTGAAGTGTTTTGCTATAAGAATGACACCCTTGCAGGCTATAGGAATCTGGGGTTTCGGGAAGTTTAGGGTTCAGGGTTCTTCCTGTTGGGTAGGCTATGGCCCCGACAGACGAACAGAACTGTTTTGTTGAGGTTTCTGAAGGTTGTACGAGCTTGCAGCTGGCATTCAGAAGCATCACCGTGCAAGTTCGGCATCCTCTCGATCCGGAAGCTGCAACACACTTTCGAAGCCCATGGACCCGGAAGACGAACCAGGGTTTGGAGTACCATACTTGAATACTAGTTGGTACCTGTTCCTTAAAGGAACCATTATGAAGTGAAAGTCTATACTTTTTTCTCCCTGCTTAGTTCAAAGTCCGGGGTAGCAAGTGATCCAAGCAGCCCCCAAACGACTCAAGAGCTTGGCCCGCCAGCCAGACAGCACCAGGCTCCTGGAGCTTAGGCGGCTTCCTGACCTCTGAGGGCCCGGGGACCCGGCCTTCTGAAATGATGCAGAAACAGCATAGCTACGACTGCCCCCACCACCACCACTGCGACGGCGGCCTCCGATACCCTCACCACCACCACCACCACCACCACCACCACCACCACCACCACCACCATTGCTGCTGCTTTTGCTGCTGCTGCTGCCCGGTCTCGTTTTGAAACAGAAGCATCACGTGGGCCTTCTTATGACCTGTGGGATCGCAATGGAGGAAGGATGTACCCAAAGGTTTTGAAGTCGGGTTCTTTTGCATCAAGCAACATCCCTTGGTTTGGGCTGGCAAACAGTCTTTTTTTGGGTCCTTATCATAATACGGCACCTAGTATTCAGGGTACCCAAAACAAGGACCATCATTTTGACAACCACCCACGTCCAATCTGGCCAGGTGACGCAGGCCCTTCGCCGGATGCCCGGCAGAGCTGTGCAACGCGGGCTGGATGTAAACTTCCGATCTTTGGCCTTCGAAAGCATCTTGTATGGGGTGTAGGCTTTAGGACCCCAGAGCCCTACTTGGAGGCCCAGGGGACTTAGTAAGTCGGTTATAAGTTATAAGTAAGGTAAAAGTTGGGATAGCTGTATTTGGGGTACTTATAGCCCTACTTATAGCCTACTTGCTAAGTCCCCTGGGCCTCTACGTAATTAAACTCAAAAGATGTGCTGTCCATGCCGCACGCTTCGAGGCTTACGTTCTCCTGTCTCCTTGGTCCAGATATCCGTACTGTCGATTAGGATTTCACAAAGGGTCCTTTGTAATTAGAAAAGTGTTTTGGGGCCCATTATGCCACAATTATAATGTGCAACCTCCAAAATAGTTTAGGTAGCTAGTCAGGCCCCTATATTAGGGGGCACGCCAGTCTGGGCATGTGTTCTGCCATGCCCCCAAAAGAGACACCACGGTTCTTGGCAGTTAGCATACTTGACACGAAGCCTCTCAGCCTAGGGGCTCTATGAGGGCACTATAGTTATGGGGACCCTTACGGGTGGGGACTATGCTTCCTTAAACAGGCCTTATTAATTCCTTATTATAGGTATTAAGCCCCCTATATACCCCCTCCCCGCTACCCACCCCCCTAAAGGTCCCCACTTGTAACTACCCGAGACCGTACAAAAGCCCTATGAACTCTTAAAGGAACCCTATAACCCAACTTATAACTACCCATTCACCTTCAAGTAAGCCCTAAACCCTATGCCCTTATAGAATACCTATAGATCCCTTCAGAAGGACCCAAAAAGGGACCCCCACCCAATAAAGCCTTATAAAACCCCTAAAGGAACCCTAGAATCCCACTTATAACTACCGATGAAGCCCTTCTTGAATACCTATAGGATCCCTTTAAAACCACCCTTGAAGCGACCCTTAAAGGAACCCCTAGAGACCCCACTTAAAAGCCCTCCATGCAGCTCCAAGGTGTGCGGCTTTGGTTCAGCTCCAGTCGGCTTGGACTGCAGAGCTCCGGCCCTACTGAGCCGCTCAGCCCGGGAAGCTCCTGAAAGTCCTTAGGGCTTAGGGCTCCGTTTTAAGGGGTCCCTTACGGGTTCCTTTAAGGGGTTCCTTTAAGGGGTGCCTTTAAGGGTTCCTTAGGGTGTTAGGGCGTTAGGGGCTTGGGCCTGAAAGTCTTTAAAGGGATCTATGGGGATTCTATAAGGGGTTCCTTCAAAGGGAAGTATTAGGGTTCCCTTGAAGGGCTCTGTAAGGGTACTCCTGAAAGTCCTTACTTGGAGGGTCGAGGGACTTAGTAAGTAGGTAGTAGGTAGACTTGCAAGTACCCGAAAAGGGACCCTACTTGGGGTTATGGCACTTCTAAGTCCCTAAAATAGCCAGTTACTAAGTCCCCGACCCTCCAAGTAGGGTTTACATAGAGGCCCAGGAAACTTAGTACGTAGGTTATAAGTGGAGTTAGAAGTACCCTAAGTGGAGTTACCCCGATTATAACCATGCTTATAACCGACTTACCAAGTCCCCTGGGCCTCCAAGTAGGGGTGTTAGGGGCTTAGGGCTTAGGGTTGAGGGGTGTAGTGGTTTAGGGGTGTAGTGGTGTTAGCGTTGAGGGGGTTTTAGGGTGCAGGGGTTGAGGGGTTTAGTATAGGGTTTATAAGGGTTCATAGTGCATTGTCTACTAAACCCCTTTGGGGGCCGAAACTGCTTAGAGGTTCCGGGCACCCTGAAACATAAACCCTAGGCTCTGCACCCACGAGATGTATTCTGATCCTCTGAGTCGAACTCCTCAACCAAAGGTCCAAAGAGACAGAGCTCCCAAAGCGGAGCTTGGCGAGGTTTTCAAGATGCCTGGATGGGGCCGGAGCAGGTCTGCAGAGTTGGTCGCACATTTGCGGATGATCGGAAAAAGAGGCAAGATGTTGACGTGAGTGAGGCTTTTTCAGCAGTCGCCCGAACCCCTACACACCTGGCCTGCACTTCGCAAGTTCCTCTCTCAAGTGACAGGCATGAGGGAAGGGAAGGCAAGGCATGGCTGCGAAAGAAGTCGCGAGGAAACGCCCTTTTTGGGAAAAGTCAAGACAGGAACTGTCGGGCTCCATCCGCCTTCCGGCAAGAAGCCTTAGTAGCTGAGTGTGTACACTTTACACTTTTGGGGATAATATTACCCACTCCAAAACCGAAAGTATACACTTTTGGGGGCCTATGAACTCAGCAACTAAGAAGCATTCCCACCTTAGGAGAGCTGTCCAGCATGTCGCTCCCATGTCCGACAAGCATGGCCGCATGTGGGAGGACAGTCCCCAGCTCAAGACTCTTGGGCACTTGGAGATTCATGGATAGGTAAAGATGGGGTTATAAGCCCCAGTACTATGAGTTATAAGTATACTTACCCGACTTGTAGCCCCACTTATAACTACCCATGAACCTGCAAGAAACGATGGGCGAGGCAGGGATTCGGGCTCGAACTTCGGTGAGAATCCCACTTGCAGGACTTACTTGGAGGGTCGGGGGACTTAGTAACTGGTTATTTTAGGGACTTATAAGTACCATAACCCCAATTAGGGTCCCTTTTTAGGGTACTTATAAGTCTTTTTACTACCTACTTACACAGTCCCCCGACCCTCCAAGTAGGGGGAGCCTGCCAACCAGAGTGTTCGGTGAGCCCCCTGGGCATAGAAGTCAGTATGGTTATGATCGCTTTTACTATTACTCTCTTGATGATTATGATATAATCTTCTTGCTTCGGGCGGTGAGGCCACGGAAGCTTTGGCAGCGCGACTTAGGCCTTCGAAAAATTTCAGCCTGGCATGATACTTAGAGGTTCATGGGTAGTTATAAGTGGGGTAATAAGTAGGGTAACTATAGTTATAACCTCTATTGTGGGACTTATAACCCCACTTATAACTACCCATGAACCTCTGAGTAGTTTGGACAATTCATCGAGCCCTTGCGGGTTCAGAACTATCAGTGATAAGGGCTTCGGGGCCCCGTAGGGTTTGAGACCCCTAGTGAATAGGACTTGCAGCATCCATGTACAGGAATCCTTGCCATTTAGGTGTTATCCGTCCCAGCTTCTAGCCCAATGCCGAACCGCTTCTAGGCGATGTTCCTTTTCAATCGCGTGGCGTAGGGAATGCATCTGACGCCGAAGTCTCTCAGCGTAAGCAAACTCCCCGGTAAAAGGACAGTGAGCTCAGAGATTGGGGTCATCAAACGTGTTCAGTTTTATTGTGTTCTTTGTTTGGTTTAGGGCTTCCCAGATTGCTCCATCGAACTCAAGCCCGTGCCAGCCTAAACCCAAAACCACTAAACCCGAAGATCCGTAAGCCGTGAATAGCACTTCGCTTTGAAGGATGCGCTGGTGGCTCAGCTGCTCTCCCGTGGTGGCTCGGAGAAGGCAGCCCGTACATGAGGTTACCAGGGCTGTTTTTCGCTGTAATATAGGGTATACGGTTTGAGGTAGTACAGGGGCCGAATAATTCGAAGTTTTGGGTTCTCTTCGGCTTTTAGAGGGTTCTGTAAGGGCTCTATGGGGTTTTGTAGGGTACCAATCATTGATCATAGTATCCGTTTACATTAGCTCATATACTCATAGTATCCATATGCTCCTGTACTGCCTGTATGCGCCGCCTCAGGTTTGGACACCGATGGAATCGAGTTGCCTTCCTGACCCCCATCCCATTCAGGCGTTATGCTGCTTTCGGCTCGAAGCGCCAGCACGACATGCAGAGGCTTGAAATGCCCAGGCTCTGAACTCTAACGTCACAGATGTTTGGCTGTGTTGCAAGCTCCCACATTTTTCTCACCTGGCCCTAAATAAAATAGACTCAAGCACTTGTGCAAAAGGTAGTAACCAGGTGGTATGTACCACGATCTTTCCTTCGCAGTCCATGGTTACTTATTTTGTCGGAAGTTTGTCAACCCTAAGCCCCTGTTCCTCAACCACTGTGTTTCAAGATCCCTTACCCCCGAAATGCTGAACAGGCCTAACAGCACTATACATACCTCCATAGATCCCTTATAGAAGCCTTTAAGGAACCCTTCAAGCTACTAGGTCCCACGATCCTTCATATCCTCAAAGCCCTACTTGGAGGCTCAGTGGACTTAGTAAGTCGGTTCTAAGTAGGGTTTTAGTTTTCGGATTTTGGGATACTTATGATTCTACTTGTAACTTACTTACTAAGTCCCCCTTCAGATTTTGGGATACTTATGCTTCTACTCGTAACTTACTTACTAAGTCCCCTGGGCCTCTAAGCACCAAGCATGGTGAAAACCGCGCCGGCGGCCGCGCGGCGGCGCGCCGCGCTGGCCGCGCTGACCCTGGGAAGGCCGAGCTCCTGAGACGAAGCTTCTTGGAGGTTCTCATAAGGGTTCCTTGAAGGGTCCCTTTAAAGGGATCTATGGGGATTCTATAAAGGTATAGGGTTTAGGGTTTAGGGGTAGTTATAAGTGGGGTTATAAGTAGGGTAACTATACTTATAACCCATATTAGGGGACTTATAATAGGACCCATGAAGGCCAAAGTACATCTTAGTAGCTGAGTGGATACACTTTACACTTTTTAGGATAGTATTACCCACTATGAAACTAAAAGTGTACACTTTTGGGAGGCTTGTGAACTCAGCAAATAAGCTCCTCATAGGAGGCCAAAACGGGTTTTAGCTTGTGGGGGTTTAGTAGGGATTAGGGTTCCCACAATCGGGTTCATATCAAGGAATCCCTACCCTAAGAATCTTAAACCCGCCTTTAAAAGGCAGGTTTAAGAACTTCTCAGAGAGCCCAAGGGGGCGAGGGAGTCAGAAACAGACCATAAGTTGTAGGGGCCTTAATTCTATGGCCTCGGTATGTATATAAATAAAATTGCATACATATATATATATATATGTATATACATATATATATATATATAAATACAAATATATATATATATATATATATATATATATATATATATATGGTGCCGCGTCGCCGCGTCGCAGGGGGGCCCCCCCCCCCACCCCCATGGTATGCCCCCCCCCCGGAAGCCAGGCGTCTCGTCCAATCAAACAGTCACACGTCATCCGCGTAACTCCCCCCCCAAGCCAGGCCTCGCCTGTCGCCTTGGCAATCGGGGGTGGGTGCGGGAGGGATAACCCACAATAGTGGAACCACAAGACGGCGAACCACAGGGGCGGGGTGGGGAAGGATAATCAACACAGGGAACCACCGGGCCCCTTCCCTTCCCCTCTCTTCGAGCACAAATGAGAATGTTGTGCGCAATGATAATGATGTGCTAGTCCCAGTGTGGCTATTGGTGGTACCTTTGCTCTTATGTTGCTCTGGGCTTCGGCACCGCATGTTCATCGCTTTATCTAGTTGAAAACCGTGCTTGGTTTGTGATGTTCTTGCGAAAACCATATCGACCGTTGTCATTCCAAGCCAAGTTTCGGTTGGGTTCGCTACAAGTAAGCTTGAGCACGTATTTGAATGGTTTTCATTCGGGACTTTTGAGCAAGGGACCTGATGAGAGTGCGGATGGGGATCATGAGCACCATCTTCGTCATTATCATCACCATCATACTCATCACTATCATTGGCTTTGGAGCTCAGGGCAGGTCGGAGTTCAATAGAACTGTATCACACCCTACGGTCCAAACCCTTAGCAACCGGACGCATAGCCATGGACGGGGGCGCAGCCGACCGCAACCACAGGGGGGAGGGGCACTCACACCACAGGGAACCACAGGGGGGAAGGGGGGGATACCATGGGGTGGGGGGGGGAGGGGGGGCCTAGCAGCGCTGCACCATATATGCCGTATTTTGCCTGGGCCTTAATATTGTGTGGTTTCCGTAAATTTCTTAGCTTGTTTTGCACTAATGCTGGGTTGATACGGCTTTTACAAGCTCTATAATAATGCTACATCGGGGGTTCCTTATCACCCTATTCTAATTGTTAAGTCCCCTATAGAACCCCACTATAGATCCCTTTTTAATGACCCTTTTAAGGATCCCTTTAATGGGCCCCAACACCCTATTCTGATTATCAAGCCCCCCAACAGTAAGAGCTTCACGGGGCTTTCATCGGGATCCCTTCAAGGCTCTTTTGAGGATGTGAATGGGTAGGGGAAGCCAGAGAGGTCATTGCATGAGGGTTTTGGGTCCCTTTAAGGGTTTTGTAGGCCCTCATATACAAGGCACTTTTACTCCAATCGTTCTGGCCGTTTCTTCTGACAGACTTGATGCAAGTAACTGGCCCTCAAGACTTGCACCGTTCTTGTGGAAGGCCATCGACTGGCAAATCCACGAAAGTGCTGAAGGCACGGCTTGGGTTTCAAGGTTTGGGGCTTTCATGGGGCAATTGACTCACTTGGTGACGGCGTGATTTCAGAAGGTTTGCTTACAGCATGTCCGCGAGCAGAGCCCCGCGCAAGCTGACAGAGTTTCAGGGTTTAGGGTTTAGGGCCGGGTCTCACGTCCAGAGGAACTTTGAACTAGAACGTAGGATGGATTCGGGAGTTTCGGTTCGATGGTGGCCCTACGTTAGCTCAACATTGATGGAGCATCACGTCGAGAGCAACCCCATCTATTCCCGGCACATTCTCGCAAAGATGTCTCAAATTTGACAGCACGTCCCTAAACCCGAAGCCCTAAATCTTAAGCCATGTGTAACAAAAGCGGAGCTCAAGCGCTTCTTTTGCATCGTGGTAGGCGGATGTCCGACAACTACAGAGATACCTAGGCCTGGACTTCCAGGTTTGGTGCTCACGCTTTTTGGGTTTAAGGGTTTGGGAGTTTAGGGATTGAGGGGTATATGGTTTTAGGTGATTTGGGTTTTTAAGAGTTTCGGAATGAGGCTTCAGCGTTTGGGGTTTAGGTTCAAGGGGGTGGATCGAGAGGGAAGTGATGGGAAGAAGGAAGATTGAAAGTTACAGAAAAGCCCAAATCATCTTGCAGCGGATTGGGGGTTGAGGGCTAGTCTTGGTTTGACTTGATCACAGGGACCCCGAGGGGGTGGGGATAGGGGGGAGGGGGGGAGGGGACTATACTCCCGTAAAAAGGCTTGTTTTTTTATCCTTAGCATTGCTATTAATGCCCGCTACCCCCCTCCCCCCTACCACCCTAAGGGTCCCTATGATTTGAGGTATACCTAGAGTACTCGATGTATCTGCACAACAAGAAGTGACACTAGTAAAAGCTATATGGCTTAGCTGAGTCTAGTTACACCTCTGCGCTGCGTGCGGACCTTGAAAAATGGCGGTTCATGCTCCGCGCACCGTTCACAATCAGGAAGTGCTCAGAGGCTTTGGATGTTTGGGCTCATTTTGAGGTTAGGGTTAGGGTTCATCGTTTAGCAGCTGGTGTCAGCTGCACCCCTTCCAACTGAGTGGAGATTGAAATGTGCCGTGCGGAACTGGGACAAGAACTAGCGTACGCATCCATTCCTACCCTTACGCCCTAAACCAACAGACCCCGGACCCTAAACCCCTAACACTGAAACCCTACTTGAAGGTTCATGGGTAGCTATAAGTGGAGTTATAAGTAGGGTAGCGTTTCTGTACTTATATCCCATATTAGGGGACTTATAACCCTACTTGTAACTACCCATGAACCTCCAAGTAAGCCCTTGAAACCAAAGTTCTGAGCCCTAGATCCGAAATTCTAAGCTTCAGCTCCCTGAAAAGGCAAGTCTTGCCCGCACTTCGGCAAGAAAGGCGTCGTACAGCTTCGAAGCTGCAGAGATTTGGCTTGGGTCTTCGAGCTAGGGTTTAGGGCTTAGGGTTTAGTTCAAGAGTTTAGGGTTTATGAGCTAGTAAGCTTTATATTGGAATAATCACAGGCTTAGCATACTTCTATAGGGTTCGGGTACTATAAGGGAACATTACGATTAAGCTAAACCCTAGCCTGTTGGGGCTTCGAGGTTGACTTGCGCCCTTCCCATCTGTCGTATCATATCCTTTCTATGCTGTGTTATATCTAAGTTCCTGAATAGTGCTTTGTTGCCTTTTTTGGTTTACGGACTGCTTATCAAACATAGTAGGGCAAAGGGTACCCTTATCACAAAAGGTTTACTCCGGATCCTAGATAAACTGTGCCATAGGATGTTACATTTAACTACACAATGGCACCTTACATGCTGTCTTACACTATCTCGTATTGCAGGCTTTAGGTTTCATAGCTCTGGGCCTGCCCCGTCTTGGATTCGGAAGTTGCTGGATGGTAAATGGTTCTGAAGACTGATGTCGTGGTTTTCTCCATTCCGTGTGGATATCCTTTGCACAATCTGAAGCCTTTGGAGAACAAGAACAATTCCCAACCCCTTTAGCAACCAGACTTTGAAGCTCGGAGTAGCCTCTGGGGGAACCTCATATTCACTCGCCGCTTTCCCTGAACCCTAAACCAAAACCCTAAAGCCTAAGC